ATTTCTTGACTGCTGCTTCCATGAGTGTTGATAGTTGATCCAAGAAGAATGAAGTCCTTGACAACTTCAATCTTTTCTCCATTGGTAAGAATGTTGTTTATTGATTCAGTGGTGAGGATTTTTGTTCTTTTTTACATTAAGATGCAATCCATATCAAAGACTGTGGTCTTTGATACTCATCAGTCAAGATTGTAAGTCCTCTTCATTTTCAGCAAGCAAGGCTATATCATTTGCATATCACAGGTTGTTAATGAGTCTTCCTCCAATCCTGATGCCACGTTTTTCTTCATATAAACCAGCTTCTCGGATTATTTGCTCAGCATCAAGGGTGAACATGTATGGTAAAAGAATACAACCCTGTTGCACACCTTTCTTAATTTTAAACCATTCAGTGTTCCCATGTTTAAACAACTGCCTCTTGCTTCATGTACAGATTCCTCATATGCACAATTAAGTGTTCCGGAATACTCATACGTCACTATGTTGTCCATAGCTTGTCATGATCCTCACAATCAAAAGCCTTTGCATAGTCAATAAAACATAGGTAAACATCTTTCTGGTTTTCTCTATCAATGTACGCTTGCAACCATTTCTGTATTACCTTTAGTAAAACTTTACTCACATGGGATATCAAAGATATTGTCTAATGATTTCCACATTCCATTGGGTCACCTCTCTTTGGAATGGGCACAATTACAGATCTTTTTCAATCAGTCGTCCTGATAGTTGTTTTCCAAATTTTTTTGGCAGAGATGAGTGCGTGCCTCCAGTGCTGCCTCAATTTGTTGAAAGATTTCAATTTGAATTCCATCAGTTCTTGGTGCCTTGTTCTTTGCCAATTCCTTCAATGTATCTTGGACTTTTTCCTTCAATATCATTGGCTCTTGATCATATGCTATCTCTTGAAACTGCTGAACATCAACCATTTCCTTTTGGAAAAGTGACTCTTTGTATTCCTTCCATCTTCTTTTTATGCTTTCTGCATCATTCAATAATTTGCTCAGAGAATCCTTCAATAACAAAAGTTGAGGGTTGAATTTTTTCTTTAGTTCTCCCAGCTTGAGAAATGCTGGACATGCTCTTCCATTTTGGTTTTCTGACTCCAGATCTTTGCACATTTTGTTGTAATATTTGGCTTTATCTTCTTGTGCTGATCTTTGAAATTCTCTCTTCAGCTCGTGTACCTCCTCATTTCTTCCATTTGATTTAGCATCTCTACACTGGAGAGCAAGTTTCAATGTCTTTTCTGGCATCAGTTTTGATCTTTTCCTTCTTTCTAGTCTTCTTTGTAGTATTTTGATATTTGTAAAATTATGGAGATTTGTTTTGTGGCTTAAAACATAGTCTATTCTAGAGAATGTTCCATGTATACTGAAAAAGAATGCTCATGAGGAATCTGTCCATGTACCAAGAGGAAGTTGTTCAAATAGGACATGGGACCACTGAATGATTTAAAATTAAGAAAGGTACATGAGAGGGTTGTATTCTTTCACCATACTTACTCAATTTGTATGCTGAGCAAATAATTTGAGAAGCTGGGTTATATGAAGAAAAACATGGCATCAGGATTGGAGAAAGACTTAGTCCTGGTGTGGTGCTGTGGGTTAATGTGCCAAACTGCAAAGTTGTTTGAACTGCAAGGTTAGTGGTTCAAGTTCACCAGCTGCTCTATGGAAACCCTATATAGGGTAGCTATGGGTTGGAATCGACTCGCTGGAACTTAACAACAACAACATATGTAGATGATACAATCTTTCTTGCTGAAAGTGAAGAGGACTTAAAATATTGACTAATAAAGATCAAAGACCACAGACTTTGGTATGGATTGTACCTCAATGTAAAGAAAACAAAAATCCTCACCACTAAACCAATAAGCAACATTCTTATCAACAGAGAAAAGATTGACATTGTCAAAGAGTTCACTCTTCTTGGATCAACTATCAACACTCATGGAAGCAGTAGTCAAGAAATCAAATGATGTATTGCATTAGGCAAATCAGCTGCACAAGACCTTTTGAAAGTGTTGAAGAGCAATCATGTCAGCTTGAGGATTAAGGTGCGCCTGACCCAAGCCACGGTATTTTCAATAACCTCATATGCATGTGAAATCAGGACAGTGAATAAGGAAGACTGTAGAAGAATTGATGCTTTTGAGTTATGGTGTTGGAGAAGAATATTGAAAGTGCCATGGGCTACCAAAAGAACAAACAGATTTGTGTTGGATGACATGAAGCTAGAGTGCTCCTTGGAGGCCAGGATGGCCAAATTTCATGTTTTCATACTTCAGACATATTGTCAGGAGGGAGCAGTCATCATGTTGGTAATGTGGAGGGTCAGAGAAAAAGAGGAAGACCCCAGTGAGCTGGATTGGCAAACTAGCATCTTCAATGTGCTCTAGCATGGCAACAATTGTGAGGTTGGCCCCGGACTGGGCAGTGTTTCATTCTGTTGTGAATAGGGTTGCTATGAGTTGGTACTAATTTGATGGCATCTAACGACAACAATCTAAAAACTAACCTGAGAAGTATAGTGGGTTACACATTGGGTTGCTAACTGAAAGGTCAGCTGTTGAAATGTATGATTTTTCTCTTGTAAAGATTTACAACTTCAGAAACTCTATACTGGGTCACTATGGGTCAGAATTAACTCCATGGTACACACTACCATAAGTAGGAGCATTTAAAATTACTTCAGACTCCACAGGAAAGAAACAAGTGTTTAATCTTTGGCCATTTTTACATTTCTCAGTGAAAAATGTGGTGTCTTCTAATCCCCTGTGTAAGACTATACCTTTGCATACAGTGTGCTGGCCATACTTCTCTTCTTCCTCCATCTATTTTTGTAAATCTGTGCTGAAGGGTAATTTCCTATCCTTACTTCCTCAAACCTCTGACAATCTTCTGCCTCTTGAATCAGAGGTAAATTCTCCATTTGATTAGAGAACATCTCTGGTTACAGTTCCTGACCTGGTCCTCATGTTGCTGAGACTCCTGCTGTTGATCTGTGGTGAGTACGACAACTCAAAATAGAGTAGAGGATCTTGTCACTTCCTGGAGACTTCACTTCCTGAAGAGACATGGGAACTACTCAGGGCTAAGTCTCTGCCTGGAGATGCTCAGAGATGCGCAGCCGCTCACTTTCAACTGGGAGCTCAGAGTCAGGAAGATATTGGAAAAGTCAGATTTTTAAAGAAAACTCTCATTTCAAGTGTTGTCACATAGGAAGTATTCGCTGTCTATGTCTTTCCTTCCATTACTCAATTCTGTCCTTGCTCCTATTTCAGCACTCATACATATAATTCAGGTTACAAATTGGCTGCTCATTTCTTTACCCTTTTTGCTATCAATATTATTTCCCTTTACTCCTCCTTGCACCCCACTCCTATTGTCAAACTCTAAAACACATCACCACCAAACTGTGCCACTTCCAAAATCGTGGTTTCAACAGCCACACTTCTCATGTCTTACTCTCTTAAATTTATCATGTCTTCAGCTTCTCAAGGTCATTTTTCATTGCCAATTCTTCCCCTCCATGCCCTTACTCCTCACAGTACTGAGCTCAGATTCTCTTATCCAACACTTCCTGGGATACACCCTCATCTCTCTTCCTATGTAACATTTACCCAATTAACAGTTCTCTGAATGTTTCTCACTTTTGCCGGAGCAGCTGAATATGACTTAGATAAAAGGCATAATTGTGCTGGTTTTTCTCACTTAAAATGTATACCCCAACTTTTAAGTGAGCCATCATCAGTGTTAGGCAAGCCTACTGTACTTTCATAGCTCATAGTCTCCTAACTGTGATGTGTACCCTTCCATACATTTTCCTTTCCCCTCAAACTCTCTCTCTTACTCTCAATTTATGGCCTGCTTAATACAACTCGATGGCACTTAACAACAACAACAACAACAATATGTCTCTGGGAAAATAGAAGCAACCAGAAGACATTTCACCATCTTCTTCCTATTGGCAGATCTACCAACCCAGCCACATACTTTGCTTTCCCCTGTCATGAATATATTGTGCATTCTCCAAGTCCTGGCAGTACAGTGGGTCAAGTGTTTGGTTGCTAACCAAAAAGTTGGTAGTTGGAACCCACCAGCTGCTCCATAGGAGAAAAAGGGGACACTCTGTTTTTATAAAGATTTATAGACTAGGAAACTCTAGGGCAACCATGGTCTCCTTCATCTACTGCATCATTTCTTTGACTCCCTTTACAAAGTTTTCAGGGAGTATCCTTTCTTTTAAAAATTCATTTTAGTTTGTTTATATCTTCTGTGGATTTTAACAAATGTTTAGAGATAATGTAATCATCAGGACAATTAACATATAGAATATTTTCATCACTTCAAAAAGCCCCTCATGCTCTCATTTAAATTTTTCCGCATCCCTAACCTCTGGTAACTGCTAAACTGTTTTAAGTTCCTATAGTTTTTTTTGTTTTCCCTCATTCTTTATTGAACCCATTCCAATCAATATTTCATCCCCATGCACTATTGAGACTGTTCTTGCTAATATTATCAACCACCTCCATGTTGCTGCTCCCAGAGATCAATTTTCATTTTACTAAACCTCTCAGGGCATTTGACATAGTTGAACACTTCTTCTTGAAACATGTTTTCACCTGACTTCCGGAACACCATGCTCTGCTGGTTATCTTGTTAACTCACTATCTGCTGGTCCTCAGTCTTCTTTTATGCATTTGCATCCTTTTACAAACTTCTCCAAGGTTGGTACCTTGATTTATCTTCTCTATTCATACACACTTGCCCAAGAAACATATCTGGTCACTTATGTACCACTTTAAGTGTGCACTGATGTTAGTTCTTCAGATTTGAACATGTTTCCTCTCCTTTGAACCTGTTTCATATACTCAACTCTCATTCAGGTGTATAAGAAGTATCTTAAATTCAACATATCCAAACATCTTTTGATTTTGTATCTGCACCACCACCACTCAAAACTTAAATTATTTCTCCTCATGATTTCTATATTTCAGTAAATGTTAGCACGATTTATTCAGTTGCTATAACCAAACATTTAGGAGTCATACGTAATTCCTCTTTTCCTTTACACTTCATATCTGATTCATAAGCAAACTCTAATAATTTTATCTTCCAAATTTATACTGAAACTGGCCACTGAACATCATCAGTGCTTCCTAATCTGAAGCACCCTAGTCTCTCTTCTAGACTAAACTCCTCTACTAATATTCATCCTGCTTCTGTTGCTCATCTATAGTTGGTTCTTCTCACAGAATAAAAGTGATCTTACACAAGTGCAAATTGAATCAGAACTTCCATGGCTCCCTATCACATCTAGAATGAAATCCAATTATCATCACGTCCACAAAGCACCCTCAGCCTAGTTCTCACACAATAGTATTTACCACAATCCATAGCCCCCACAACCCCACAGTCAAGCCCAAGAACACGTCCTTCCTCTTATTCTTTCTCATTCCCTCGTCAAAGCCTTTTCATTTATATGCTCTTTGCTGAACATTCAGAAGAGTCACTGAATGTTTCTCATTTCAGTATCTACTCAAGTGGCATTGTTCTAAATAGTTATGACTATTGTCAGCTACTCTGTAGCTTATTTCATTGCTTTATTTTTCTTGTAGTACTGACTACTCTCTGAAATCTCTGCTACTTGATTGGCTCTCTCCCTACTCTAATGTAAATCCTTTGGTGGCAGACTGTTATTCATGTTCACTCTTGTAACCCCAGTGCTGCCCACAATGCCTAGCATATAGTAAGCACTCAAAAATATTTGTTGAATGAATGAATAAACAAAATGTGATTTTTATGTTAGCTATTGCTCCCTCCTCTCTGTCTGAAGAACTAATTATTTTCATAAACATTTAATCTAAAATGTTAAGTATCTCAAACTAAACATGAACAAAAAGAGAAATAATGATAGTGCCCCAATACCCACTACCACCAAATCAGTTCTGATTCATAGCACTCTGTACAGAGTTCCCAAAGCTGTAAATGTTTACGGGAGCAGAAAGCCTCATCTTTCTCTCAAGGAGTAACTGGTGGGTTTGAACTGCCTGAGTTGAGGTTGTTCAGTGTTTATCCTATAGCATCACCAGGGCTATTTAAATAATAGTAGTTGTTGTTAGGAGTCTTGGTGTGGTGTTGTGGGTTAATGCGCCAGATTGCAAAGCCATTTGAACTGCAAGGTCGGCAGTTCAAGCTCACCAGCTGCTCCTTGGAAACCCTATACAGGGTTGCTATGGGTCAGAATTGACTCGACGGCACTTCACAACAACAAGAAGAAGTTGTTGTTAATTGTCATCGAGTCAGTTCTCACTCACAGTGGCCCTCTATAGGGTTTCCAAGGAGCAGCTGGTGGTTAGCAATCCAGTTCTTGTCCTACAGTGCCACATCAGGAAGCAATATGAGATCACTATGAGTCAGTACTGACTCAATGGCACCTAACAACGACATCTAAATTTCAGGCACTATTCTAAGTACAAAGAGCTCTGGTAGTGTAGTGGTTATGAATCAGGCTGCCAATCTGAAGGTCAGCAGTTCGAAACTACCAGCGGTTCCGCGGAAGAAAGATGAGGCCTTCTGCTCTCATAAAGATTTACAGCCTTGGAAACACTGTGCAGGGTAACTATGAGTAGGAACCGACTCCGCAGTACTCAACAACAACAACAACATTCTAAGCACTTTAAGGAGCTCTGGTAGTGTAGTGGTTACGAGTCTGGTTGCTAACCTCAAGGTCAGCAGTTTGAAACTACCAGCCATTCCACAGGACAAAGATGAGGCTTTCTGTTCCTGTAAAGATTTATAGCCTCGAAGACCCTATGTGGGGTTGCTATGAGTTGAAACCGACTTTACTGCACATAACTACCACTACCATTCTAAGTACTTTATAAGTATTATCTTATGTAATTCTCACAAAAACTCTGTGAGGTAGGTACTATTATTTTCTCCATTTTACAAAGAAGGAAACTAAAGTACAGAGAGGTAAAGCATTTTTCTCAATGATGTAAAATTTGTAAGAAAAAGAAGCTGTATACAATTCTATACCATCTGGCTATTTGGTGTTGTTTTTCTAGTTGGTTTTGAGTGATAACAACCCTGTGTAAGGTTTCCAAGGAGCTGCTGGTGGGTTTGAATCTCCTACCTTATGGTTAACTGTATAGTGCTTATCCTACAGCACCATACCACTAGTCCATAGAACATGCATTTTCCCACAAATTTTCTCCTCTTTATCAGTATGTCAAAATGTTGTTGTTGTTAAGTGCCACTGAGTTGGCTCCAACCCATAGTGGCCCTGTATAGGATTTCTAAGGAGCATCTGGTGAGCTTGAACCACCAGCCTTGTAGTTCAAACTAACTTTGGTGCATTAACCCATAGCACCACACCAAAATACTATGGCCCAATTTTCTTCTCTGGTCTCTAAACCTGAATTGTGATCTGAATTTGGTAAATGAAGGGTCATCATTACTTTGAGGATGACCTCTCCACTCTTCTCATCTGACTGTTGTTACCATGAGTAATGCATCTTGAGCTGATCATGGAGACTTTTGAGGGGGGGGGGAAAGCTGGAAGTTAGGGACTTGAAGAAGGGAGCTGTTCAGTGTTTAAAAGGGAAGGCACCATTTCCTAATCACAGCTGAGTGAAATGATTGCAAAATATTTTACAATCATATAAAAAGAGTCATGTGTTGTTTTATGGGGAGGGGCTTTGTGAATCGTGTGGAATATGAGGAAAGAATAAGAGGAAAAGAGAGAAGGAACAGTGAAGGGAACAAGAAGGGAGAGGCAAGAAGAGAAGAGAAAATTTGAGGAAGGAAGGTAGAGACAAGGGAGGACAAGAGGGAAGAAGGATGGATTTTTGAATAAACTTTGCATGTTTGGGATTTGCTGCTGTCTACTGATTTTTGCTTTATTTTCTCCCAGCTTCACTCTGTGAACGAATTGGTGAGTTGCACTTCCCTATCTTCTTCATGGTCCACGGGCGCCTTGTCATTTGAGTCAGCAGAGGAGACTTGTAGACCTGGGTAGACCCTGCACATCCAAGTTACACGCTGATGACATTGCTGCGGTTCCCTGGGGCCTGGGCTGCTCTGTTCACATCAGTCTGTACACTTGATATGCACCTGCTCAGCCAGCTGGTGAACACGTCTTTCTCGAGTCTCTCAAGATCACAGTCTTATATCTGAGAAACTTGCTGGCGTGGGGAAAGAGATACATGTGTACAAGGAAGGCAGAGGGTGCTGAAGATTAATACTTGAGAATCTCTATCCTCCCAAGTTCAGAGACACTAAACTGGGTTCTCCCCTGCTGGGTGTTCCATTAGGGGTGATGGAGGAAATGCCAGACACCTACAAGAAATAACTCAGTCCATAGGATAAAAGAAGTAGGAAATGCCAGACGCCTACAAGAAATAACTCAGTCCACAGGATAAAAGAAGCAGTGCTGTCTCCTTCTGCCTCTAGCCTTAGGTAGTAGCACCAACTGCTTATCATCAAGGTTTTCTCTCTCAGACCATGGTTAATGTAAGCTAGTTTCACTCTGTTAAGGATTCAAAGTCCTGCGTTACCCAGGTGAGGATATGCCTCTTCCCCCTAATCTTTTACTAAGGTATATTCACATCTAATAAATTTGACAATCATTTCTTATACATAAAATACCACAGAACTAAAAAAGGTAATCCTGTAATTTTAAGACAGAAGGAAAGCAGACCCTCAAGCCTGTCGAAAGAGAATCTCGGAGCAAACTCAGTCTTCTGAGTTCCTCACATGCTTGTGTGTTTATTCTAGCCCTGCTATAACTCCTTAAAGCCACATGCCTAAATACAGCCTAAAGAGCAATCAAATTTGCATTGAGGATGAAGACAAAAAGTTACTGTTACCAAGTGTTTGACATCTGTCTCTGCAGTTTGGGAATAATCTGAAACAAGCGCTGAGCTGCAAGTCGCTAGATCCTTGCTGTTCACCCTGTCCTGGTTCTTACCTCCTGCTCTTCTAAGCTCTATTCTGAGGAGGAAGTTAAAAACAAGAGAAAGCACAAACATTTCTGTGGCGTTGACTCCAATTTATGGTAACCCTGTGTGTGTCAGAGTGGAACTGCTCCATAGGGTTCTTAAGGCTGTTATCTTTCAGAAGTAAATTACCAGGCCTTTTTTCAAGATGCCTCTGAGTGGATTTGAACCACCAACATTTCAGTTAGCAACTGAATATTTAACTATTTGTGCCATCCAGCTGCAGGAACTGATTAAGTTAAAGGTAAAGGAGATGCTGCTACACAGGGGCAGGAGGGGAGGGAAGGAGGGTGAACAGAGTGGGTTTATGGCAAAGGAAAGCCCACAGGTCACTCAGAGGTCCATATGAGAGAGAGGTAGTCTGTGTATCCATCTGACTGGTTCTTTGAATTCTGTTTGCAAGTGCTCAGAACACAAAGTGCCTCACACAAGGAACTCTTAATCTCATTGTGTTGGAATGTGTGTTTCATTTTCCCCTCTAGAGTTGTTTCTGAAACCCAGTCCCTCTTCGCCCATAGAAGGAAACTCAATGACCCTGACATGTGAGTTTCAACGCCCTCCACAGGCATCAGATATCCAGTTTCAGTTCTGCTTCTTCAGAGATGGCGAAACCTTGGGATCAGCCTGGAACAGTGTCCCAGAACTCCAGCTTCTCCCCATGTGGACTGAAGACTCAGGATTTTATTGGTGTGAGGCAAAGACAGTGAAAACCAGAATTACACGGAGCAGGATGATACAGATAAACGTGCAGAGTGAGTGCAAATGGGGCCAGTTTGCTAGGGTGGACTGAGAAGGGAAGTGGTATGAGGCCAGTGGCCACCCATCCCTATCTGCCATATTCTGCTCCCATGGGAATAGGAGCTAGTCTAGAGATGTGTGGGAACCTTTCTATCAGATCTGTCTTAGATTCCCAGTGATGTTATAATATAAATAGCGTAAATGAGTAGCTCTAGCAAACACATTTTTTTGTTCTTACAGTTAGATTAGAAGTCCAAATGGCTCTGGGGGAGATGGGGAGTGTGGGAGAAATCCTATCTTTCAGAATTCCTTGGTGGCAGCTCTCTTCCCCCATTTGTGCTTACTTGTCTCTGTGTCCAAGCTGTTCTTTCTATCTTTCAGAAAAAATAAGGTTAAGGAAAAAAACCATGGAGTCCTGATGTGGCACTGTAGGATAAGCACTGTGCTGCTAACCAAAATGTCGGTGGTTCAAACCCTCCACCTGCTCCTCAGAACTGTGAGGAGGAACTTAACAATAAGGCACACTCTACATTGACACAGCTCATTACCACAACAAATAACCCTATTCCCCAAAGGAATTTCATCCACAGGTATAGGAGTCAAGACTACAAAACATATATTTTGGAGATACAAATCCGTAATAGAAGCCTTAAGAGACGTTCCTTTATCCTTGCTGTTCCCAAATAAGAATATTTTGGGAACACTGTGTGTGAGGACATGGTTGCAAAATTTATACACATATGGCCCCTGTCTATAAGAACTTGATATTTAGCCAGCACTCTGAATTGTTGGGGGAAGCTATGTGGGGCTATATTGCATAAAAAGAGTTCTGATATTGTACTGGTTGGGAGTTGGGCTGCTAACCTTAGTAGGCAGTTGGAAACTACCAGTCTTTCCATAGAAGAAAGATGAGGCTTTCTGCTCCTATAAAGATTTACAGCCTCAGGAACCCTATGCAGGTTCGCTATGAGTCGGTACACCACCACCACTGCCATATTGTACAAGGTTGATTTATTAGTAGAGGCTTCAGAGAAAAGAGAAATCTGACTGAGGTAGTAAGTTTTGTGGAATAAGAATATATAATTGACTATTAAAAAGGGGTTTATGGGAGAGAAGCTAGAGCTTGATATTGAAAGATCAAAAGAAAAGAGGGATTTTGTGATTTTGAATTGTGTTATTCCATTTCAAGGTGGATATTTCCCAAATTCTCTCCCATTGTCAAACAAAGGCCTACCCACTGTGCCATAAAGCAAATGTCTACTACTTCCAAAAGAATGGACTTTCCTAAAATTACTTAAAATTCAACACTGATGAAATTGGACCAGAACAACAACAAAAAAGCCTAGTTATCTCTGTGAACAGTTAATGCACAGCAGACGCTGTCCTAATGCACCACATACATTGTCGAATCGAATCCTTATCTCCATTTCACAGATGAAAAACTGAGTTCAGAGAAGTTAAGTAAATTGATGAAGGATGCACAACAAGTAAGAGTTGAAATCAGCATTCAAACACAGGAAGTTTGATTTGAAACCAAGACTTGTAAACATCATACCTTGTAACCACCATAGCCGAGGGTTTAGAAGCTCAGAAATGAGCCCGGGTGATCTGATGGTCCCTGTCTACTGTTGTCTGCTCCGATGGGAATAGGAGCTGGTCTAAAGGTGTACCTGAATTTCTCTCTTCATCTGGGTGTCACACTGACCTTGGGAGGGAGGTGATAATGCTACAACCCCAGGGTAAGATTATGGTATCTTTTTTTTTTTACACTTGTTGTTGTTATGTGCTGTGGAGTCGATTCCGACTCATAGCGACCCTGTACAGGGTTTCCAAGGCTGTAAATCTTTACGGGAGCAGAAAAACCTCATCTTTTCCCCACGGAACAGCTGGTAGTTTTGAACTGCTGACTTTGCGGTTCACAGCCCAATTCGTAACCACTATGCTTTTTACACTAGTGCCATGAATTTCAAATATTCAGACACCAGCAGTCCCTTACCCCAACTTACACAACTTTTGTCCCTTTTGTTGTTGTTAAATACTATTGAGTTGGTTCTGACTCATAGCAACCCTGTGCAGGGTTTCCAAGGAGCAGCTGGTGAGTTTCAGCTGCAGTTTCAACTTGTGATTCAAACGACCTTCTGTCCAGGATATTATCCTGCAGCACCACACCAGGATTCCCTTGAAACTCTATGGATCACTGACTTTAGCAGGTCTTTGCTTTCAGCTCTGTCAGCTCTACTCCATCTCCCTGAAATCTTCCCTACTCAGAGACCTATGTCATTTTCTGTTTATACAGGGGTCCCTGTCTCTGATGTGAGCTTGGAGGCACAGCCCTCAGGGGGACAGGTGGTGGAAGGAAAGAAGCTGGTCTTTGTCTGCTCAGTTGCTAAGGGCACAGGAAACATCACTTTCATCTGGTACAAAGGGACCATTGGTTTAAAACTGGGTACAAAGACCCAGCGTTCCTCAACTGCAGAGTTTGAGATCCTTATGGCGAGGGAGAGTGACACTGAACAATATTACTGTGCAGCTGAAAATGGCTATGGCCCCAGAATCAGTGGGCTGGTGAGCATCACTGTCAGAAGTAAGTTCTACTACTCTTCATTTCAACCAGCAAGTCCCAAACTGGGCTCCATGTTCCCCTGGGGCACCCTGAGGAAGTCTAAATGGGACTTAGCCTCTGTGGGAGGAGACTATGAATCTGTTCCATCCTCAGAGACCCCTCTGATAGCCAACTATCTCTGTCAGTTCCAGTGTCTCATCCAGTCCTCATCTTAAGGACTACTGGGGCTCAGGCCATGGTGGGGGACATGGTGGAGCTTCACTGTGAGACCCCAAAAGGCTCTCCTCCGATCCTGTACCAGTTTTACCATAAGGACGTCATCCTGGAAAGCAGTTGGGCCTCTCTTAGAGGAGGAGTATCCTTCAACTTGTCTCTGACAATAGAACATTCTGGAAATTATTTCTGCAAGGCTAGCAATGACCTGGGAATGAAACGTAGTGAGATTGTGTCACTCAACATCACAGGTATGACTCAAACCACTGAACTGTCTTGATCAGGGTTTCTTGCCCAGCTTCCTGAGAAAGTTTTGCTGGTGTTGCCACTGTACTGCTGGTGGGGCTTCTGCAGGTCGTGGTGGTCTGGGCAATGTATCTGGCGGTATGGTGGACCAAAATGCTAAGTGTTTTTCTTCTCCTTTCATCAGTATGATCTGCTGCAAGTTCCTAGGTAAATTAGTGAATTCCTCCTAGGAAAAGCAGAACATGGCTACAACCCACACCCAAGATCTCTGCACTCCAAACCCCAAGTTCATGCATAGGTCTCTTCTCTCAGTGCCTACCGAGAACAGAATGGAACTTCTGACTTCAGGAGTCATTAAGGGGCTGCTTGGCATCCTTGTTCCCTCTACTATGGTCTTACTGTTTTGTTACTGGCTCAAGAGAAAAACAGGTTAGTATTTATAGAGAATGGGGATCTGTTATTGTGGAGTTGTTTTCACTGAAATACACTGGATCTGGGATGTGTATATTGTAAATGACTGTATTTCACTGACCACCCTGCTTACTATTTTGCTGACAACCACCCAGGAAGTAGGAATGACATCTAGTAAAGTAATTTGCTGAATGATGAAATTTACACGGAGGAGATTGTAATCATTGCAGTGAAACTATGAGTGTAAATCTTATGTTCCCCCATGTAAACTATCATTCAGTTCACAATAACAACTTAAAAACAAAAACATCTTCCAATAAATTTTCTAAATAATAATAAAAAAGTAATGTAAAGTCTCAAATAGTTTTCTTTTTCCCAAGTGTTCTTAGTAAATGCTCAATTGATAATGTGTGCTTCTGTGATTTTATTTTTTATATTAAAATACTAAAAAATAATTAATCCTTAGAAGAAAAGTAGGTTCCTAGGGTAGGACATGTTGTTAAGTGCTTGGCTACTAACTGAAAGATTGTCTGTTCAAATTCACCCTGAGGTATTTCAGAAGATAGGCCAGGTGATCTTCTTCTGAAAACCCTATGGTGTGTAGTTCTACTCTACACAAATGGGTTCGCTATGAGTTGGAATCAACTCAACAGCAACTAACAACATCAATAACAGAAGAGAAGTAATGTCAAGAGCTCCAGTTATGTTGACGATCTCCTAGTTCTAGTCAATGCATCAATTATTTTCCTCCTTCCTGACATGCTTATCTGTACATCCTCAGATTCTACTCAGTGCTGAATCTCTCTCACTTTTCAGTTTAATGCCATTTCCTCAAAGATGCTTCACCTGGCCACCAAGCTTATCATGCTATTATTATTATTATTCCAGAGTACCGAATGTTTAGTTCCATGCTCTATCACATTTGGTAGCACATTTTAATTTATATTTGATAATGTAGTGGTTACGATTTGGGCTGCTAACCTCAAGGTCAGCAGCTTAAAACTACAAGCCATTTCACAGGAGAAAGACAAGGCTTTCTATTCCTGTAAAGATTTACAGCCTCAGAAACCCTATACAGGTTCGCTATGATTGGAACCAACTCCACAGCACACAGCCATCACTGCCATTCTCCATGAAGCAAATTGGAAACTGTGCAAGAGAGAACAATGTGAGATTTGCATTTAAGTTTTAAGCTTTTCTGGTATCTTAGGGCATGTAACTCCATCTCAGTGGTAACACCTAACTCCAAGTACCCTTGTCAGGATGTGGTTGCAAAAATAGAATCTAAAATGGCAACAAACTTGGTGGTTTGGAGGCTTAGGTTCACATTCTAGCTCTACTACAAATGAGTTTTGTGGTTTGGAGCCTACTGAACTATTATAGACACAAATATGAAATCTCTGCCTAATAATCACTAATTTCATGCTGGAATCCAGCCACAGAAAGATATATGGAACAAGGTACATGATTAGTGAACACAACTAAGAAAGAAGATTTCTGCCATTCACATGCATGCTTCTTTGTTTAACTTGCAGGAAGAAGATCAGCAAGGGATCCACTCAGGTAACGCCTATGTTTTCTCTGTGTGTGCTTATAATACAGAAGACCAAAATAATTTTTTTAATTGCAGTCCTTTCTTATGAGCTTCTTCTCATACGACATTGCTTATGTCCAACACTGTTACTCCAGAGTTCTTTCACTGATAACTTTGAGCACTCAATTTCTATTCCTCTTTTGCTAGGCTTCATATTTTGACTAATTCATGTAAATTATTTTATCATTCTTCCTAATTTTTCATCTTCATGAGATGTGTTACATGACTTTGATCAGAATCATGTATTCATCCAATTGTTGTTGTTTAATGCTGTCAAGTTGGTTCCAACTCATAGCAACCTATACAGAGAGGGTTTCCAAGGAGTGGCTGGTGAATTTGAATCACTGACTTTGTGGTTCAAACTGACCTTGCAGTCCAGTGCTGATCCTACAGTGATTATTCAACCAACACCTGAAGGTCTATAAGTCATTTTGTTAAGTGTTGAGAAACATGAAAATACAAAAAGATCTTGAGAATATTAAAATATTTTATTATAGATTATATATAGACATGAAGTCATGGTGTGGCACTGTAGGATAAGCACTGGATTGCTGACTTTAAACAAGGTTGGTGGTCCAAACTCACCAGCAGCTCCTCTGAAATCCTGCGCAGGGTTATCATGAATAAGAACTGACTCAACAGCACTTAACAATACAAACAACAAGAAGATATAGACCAGGAGATTTGCCCAGTAACTGGAGAAGGACTTCATGCTTGGTAAAGTAGAGGGTCAGCAAAAAAAGCATGGATTGTCACAGAGGCTGAGGCCTTAGGCTCAAACATGGCAATGACTGTGAAGATGATGCAGGACCACGTAGTGTTTCCGTCTGTTACACATAGGGTCACTCTGAGTTGGAAATGACTTGATGGTGCCTAACACCACAACAAACGGCCACTACTTGTCTGTCAGTTTGTCATACTGTGGTGGCTTGTGAGTTGCTGTGATTCTGAAAGGTATGCCACCGGTAATTTAAATAACCAGCAGGGTCACCCATGGTGGAAAGGTTTCAGATGAGCTTCCAGACAAAGACAGACTAGGAAGAAAAAGTGATGAACTACTTCTGGATCTTTACTCACTGAAAACCTTATGAATAGCAGAAAAACACTGTCAGATATAGGGCCGGAAAATGAGCCCCTCAGGTTGGAGGGCACTCAAAATGTGACTGGGGAAGAGCTGCCTCCTCAAAGTAGAGTTGAACGTGAAAAGAATGGAGTAAAGCTCGTGGAAGAAAAGCCCTTGGGACCTTCATTTGCTGATGGGACACAACTCAAAATGAAGATAAACAGCTGTAAACATCCACCGAAAACTGGAACAAGGAATGTATGAAGTATGAATCTGGGAAAATTGGAAGTTGTCAAAAATGAAATGGAACGCATAAACATCAATATCTTAGGCGTGAGTGAGCTGAAATGGACTGGTATTGGTCATTTTGATTCATGCTTTGCTATGCAGGGAATGACAAATTGAAGAGGAATGGTGTTGCATTCATCATCAAAAAGAACATATACAGATTAGTCATGAAGGTACAACGCTGTCTGTGATAGAATAATATTCATGTGCCTACAGGGAAGCCCTGTTAATACCACTATTATTCAAATTTATGCACCAACCACTAAAGCCAGTGAGGACAAAACAGAAGAATTCTAACAACTTCTTCAATCTGAAATTCATCAAACATGCAATCAAGTTGTATTGATCATTACTGGTGATTGGAATGCAAAAGTTGGGAACAAAGAGGAAGAATCAATAGTTGGAAAATATGGCCTTGATGATAGAAATGATGCTGGAGAACGCATGATAGAATTCTGCTAAACCAATGATTTGTTCATTTCAAATACCTTCTTTAGATAGCATAACAGACAACTATACACATGGACCTCACCAGATGGAAAACATAGAAATAAAATTGACTACATCTGCAGAAAGAGAAGATGGAAAAGTGCCATATCATCAGTGAAAACAAGGCCAGGGGCAGACTGTGGAACAGATCATCAATTACTCATATACAAATTCAAACTGAAGCTGAAGAAAATGAAAACAAGTCCATGAGAGCCAAAATATAACCTTGAATGTTTCCCACCTTAATTTAGAGATCATCTGAAGAACAGATCTGATACATTAAACACTAAAGACTGAGAACCAGAAGAGTTGTGGGATGACATCAAGAACATCATACAGGAAGAAAGCCAAAAGTCATTGAGAAGACAAGAAAGAAGGAAAAGATCAAAATGGATGTCTGAAGAGACACTGAAACTTGCTCTGCAGCGTAGAGATGCTAAAGCAAATGGAAAAAATGAGGAGGTCCAAGAGCTGGACAGAAAATTTCAAAGATCAGCTCGAGAAGATAAAGCTAAATATTACAATAAAACGTGCAAAGATCTGGAACCAGAATACCAAAAAG